TCTACTTGTACACTAGGGAGAAAAGACAACCCTTTTTGAGCAATAAGACAAGGCCACATTTTTTTAATAATGGCCAGTCAAAATTAAATAATGAAGGTGTGAAAAAATATTTTAACTTTGTTTCATCAACAAAATATGAGTTCAGATCTGAAAATGGATTATTTTTCTTTAATTTACACACCCAAAACTCTGGTTATGTTAAAAGTTTTACTGAGAATTCTACATTTTCTTTTTTATTTATTGTTGTTCAGTTACAGTTGCCCTGCCTTTTTAAGCAATTTATTGTCAGACATCAAAATTTTGCTATCATATATTTGTGCCTCATATTGTTTTCTGTTATCCATTGGAATTAATAAGCTACTGCTTGTTCTAACTTTTAAAATCTCATAAGAATTAGGTAATATATGGCTTTAGAAAAGAATCTGTACATCATGTGTTATAGGAAGTATATCTGAATTCCTTTTGGCAACTAGCAGTAATTTAGGTCAAGTCCCTTAACTTCTGGGGACCCAAATTTCTGTAAGTGTAAAATAGTGTCTTGGCTTAAAATTTAAATCCATATGAAGTCTTTTCCAAATTGAATCTTCTTAACTGATTTAAACTAATAATTCCACTTATATTCAGAATCAGAATACCATTTCTTATTGTTGGTTTAAAAATAATTGTTTCAAAGGAGAATCACAACATTAAGGTGAAAAATGACTATTGTTTGGCCTAGTAGTTTCCAGAGTCCCTCATGAGTACACTGTTCATATACTTTACCTTGTTCCTCTCATTTTTTCTCAACTTTTATATGTGGGAATGTAACTTGATCTCATCAAGAGAAGAACAAGGCATCATTAAGCCTTGTAAATAAAAATAAACATTTTTATTTACAGAATAAAAATGTGAAAAATACTGGCTTAGGATACAATTTAGCAAAAGGGCATTGATTTTTTAAAAAAGATTTTATTTACTTATTCTTAGAGAGAGAGGGAGAAAGAGGGGAAGAGAAACATCAGGGGACCTGGCCTGCAACCCAGTCACATGCTCTGACTGGGAATCTAACCAGCAAGCAACTCTTTGGTTCACAGGCCAGTGCTCAGTCCACTGAGCTGCACCAGCCAGGTCCATCAATGGTTATTTTTTCTGTGTTATCCAGTAAACGTATCTTTGCTATAGAAAAGATGGTTAATTCTTCACGAGTTTATAGGCCAGAGGAAACCAATTTTTTTGTGTGTGTTCTTATTTGGTCTATGTCCTTCACATTCTGCATATGAGGTCACATGCTAGTTTCATGATTAAAGATTTTAAAGTTAATATTCAATTTGATTACTAAAATTTTAAGAGACAAATTTTAATTTACAAATTTCAAATTGCATTTAGGATTATTGGTGGAATTAGCCTTAGAGGAGTGATAATTTACAATGCCTTAATGAGATGATTGCTATCACAAAGCTTAAATGCCAATGAATTCACAGTGACTAATGGGGGGATGTGGGGCAACACATCATTTAGTTAAAGTGTTTAAAATATTAAAAGTGTAATCAATCATATTGGCATATGCAAATTTTAAAGCATCTGCATGTCATGCACTCTTGTTCAGTGGGCTGAAGGATGAAGTGTGAGGACTTTTTTCTTGCTCTGTGCAAGTTTGGAGAGACATTGTAATATAGCAGAATGGACTGAGTGGGTCAGAATCCTGGATTCCAGTCACACTTCTTTCATTTACTAGTCCTGCATTTTGTAATTTGTAAGATAGGAGTAATAATATCTGACCTTCAAGTTGTATAACTGAGGAAAGCACTTAGAAAGTATAAAATATGACTATAAAATTATAAGGTGTTATAATTGTGGGCAATGAAAATTTAGGTTATGACACTGAAAAAATATGCTGTTCTATTTTTTTTTCCTTTTTGGTGCACTTTTCTAGGTGAATGTGCCTCTTAGGAGCAATTGTCTGGGAGTGTCTGGGATAAGCTTGGGCTGCATAGGCAGATTGTGTTCCCTGAAGGTCATGCTTCCTGAAAGACTCAGAGCAGCTCAGCCAGCACGTCCAGAGTATGAAGCATGAAGTACATTTATTCTACAAAAATGACAAGTAAATATAAGAAAAAAATTAAGGATTCCATTTTTTTAAAATAAGTACAACAAAATCAATGAAAACCAAAATCATATTCAGAGTAACACATGCCACCATTTTTCATAGATCTCACAGCACTTTGAAAAAGATATTTAAATGCTGATTTGAATTGTTCAGACATTTTAACTAAATAGAACAATTATTAAAAGTGATGATGCCACAGAATAAAAAAATAAAATCAATGACAGAAATTGGGGCAAAATATACTATACATAAAGATATCTGAATCTTTGAATTGAAAATGAGAAAATGGAAAGGTGCCAAGTTATTCCACAGTATTACTTGAACCCCCTGAAACATATATCAATTTCTGCTTTCTGCAAATATAGCCTCTGAGTTGTCAGCAGTTGTGTTCTAAGAGTCCTGTAATGGTGGATGATGGGATTTATTAAAACTTCAAAGACTTATGGTAATCATACAAAAAATACTAGAATTATGCTGTCTTTGTACAAAAACACATCAAGTGTTCAGGCTACAATGACTGGGTTTTTAACAGAAGGTAGCTAGGATTTTTAAAATTTGCCTTTTATTTTTTTGTATACAGAAGGAACATCAAGTAATATTCTGTCATCTTGCCTCAACCTAATGTCATATAAGCTCACAAAGGCAAGAAATTTACTTAAGAAAGGAAAAATATTCTGCTGCTGCAAATTTGTTTTAAAGAATAAAAGGTTTCTTTCCTTCCTGATATTTTTTTCATTTTCAATTATTGTTGAACATACAATATTAATATCAGGTGTACAAAATAGTGATTAGACATACATATACCTTGTGAAGTGCTCATTCCAATAAGTGATAGTTTTTTAAAAATATAAATACACTTTGGAAAGGAAAACACCATGGTACTAAATTGTGGGCGGGTTATATACAATAGAAGGGCATATTTTAAAGCTAAGGTTTGGATTTGTTTCTTTACTTCCATTCTCTTCCTTCTTCCCTTCATTTTTATCTTTACTTGGAGATTTATTTTTTGTCTTATGCCAGGTGTAACAACTTGGATACTTGGATCCAAGTATACTGTCTCATGGATACTTGTTGATTAATTCTTTGAACTTGTCTTTTAAGGGGTAAGGTAAGAACAAAAGTGTAATTCATATTTGGTTGTAGTTATTAGTGCAAAATGGCAGCAATATCCCATTAGACCAGAAGATGGTGGTGTTGTCCATAAAAGCAGACCATTTCACGTGTTTTTTTTTTTTTTTTTTGTTTTTTTTTGTGGCGTTGTTGAAACTATTTTAAAGCCCTCTGTATTTTCAAAGTTCACACAGGATTAAATTTTTTAAAATAGCAATTTGGGGAAATGCTTTTCCATGTTTTTAATCAAAAGGTTTTATAGATCTACCTAGATCTATCCTTCCTATTTATATCACATAAGGAATTAGCTCGTTTCTTCTCAGGACTTTGGCACTCATAGTGCATTTTTATAGGTGGGATTATGAATCCATAACTAAGTGATGTTACTTTAGGGGTGGGGTGGTTTTGTATCTCTTGCAGTGAAATCATAATAAGGTGCCCAGGGAGAAGCCTTTTTCTCCCTTTCTTCAAGATTTTAGATTTATGTTTAGAGGGGAAGGAAAGGAGAGAGGGAGAGAAACATCAATGTATGGTTGCCTCTCATATGTCCCCTGCTGGGAACCGGCCTGTAACCCAGGCAGGTGCCCTGACTGGGAATCGAACTGCAATCCTCTGGTTCCCAGGCCTGCGCTCAATCCACTGAGCTGCACCAACCAGGGCCCTTTTTCAATTTCTTACCCTTCTTTTATATCATCTTGCTTTTTTTTCTTTTCACCAGTCCTGCTGTACATATTGTGGTATCTTAAGCATGAATAACAGACTATTGTAATTTCTACTGCAAGATGCTATTGTTGAGTGTACGATATCTAGTATTGTACACAAAACTGTCTTTAAAAGATTTCCTGGTACTCAGCTATGAATAACTTTCTTACTTGGTTGACGATTTCAACTTTGTAAGGTTCTCTCTCACACAGGACTAACCTCAGAGTGGACTGTTGCCAATTAAACTCATTTATCAACGAATGATTGTTTTACCTACGAAGTATGTTTTATTGCATAATTAAATTCAGCAAGGCTGGGGAGTATTTTATTCCACGGCTAATTGCCCTCAGTTCAATTTTGCCTCTGAGAGGCAAAATTTGTTCATACTTTCACATCGTATGAACAAACTGGGTTAACTGCCTATCATGTGTGGTCATGGCACATATGTTAGTGAGGAGTTATACAAACATTACATATGAATCTGGAAGGAGGCTGATAATGACGTTTGCAAATTATTTACAACATGCTTGTATCCCAAGAAGTCAGTAAGCAAAACCCATAAAACCCCTGTCTTTACGGAGATTACACTGAAATTCGGAGTGGAGAAGGTATTACACATCGAAGTAAATTATATGGTTGGTTGGTGGTGATAGCTGCCCCCCCCCCCCCAAAAAAAAAAAAAAAGAAAAAGAGCAGGGTACAGGGATGAGGACATGGTGAGGCCTGGGTAGTACTGAACTGGCTGGTCAAAGGAAATCGCGCCAAAGTTTGAGGGAGGCTCTCGGACCGGCACTCAGCGGGAAGCCCTGGGGTAGCCCGAGGTCGGGCGATTGAACAAACTTTAATTTTCTTAGGAATTCACTGTAGGCTAGGCTCGAACTCCTAATTACACTTTCAGCACGCCAGCCCCGAGGGGCCTAAGAGCCACTGACCTCCCCGCTTTGTTGGGGTGGTGACGGGGGTAAACGCCGCCGTCAGGACCACGGCGCAACGTGCGCCTTAGCTGCTGACCGTAGGTAAGCACGGCTAGAGGAGTGGCTCCGGGACCCCAGCAAGGAGCACGCACGCGGGCGAGGGGCGGAGCCAGCGGACGCCACCGGGCGGTGGCACAGACTGGCTGCAGCAGCCTAGTCAGCACAGCCACACAGCCGCTGTGTTCTCGCCGCCCTCGGCCGCCAGTCCGCTGCCCTCCGCTTGCCCACAGCCAAGGACACCCTCTCTTTGCTCCGCGCCCAGTTGCGGCGGCGCGCGAGGGCGTGTGGGGCGGGGCTGTTCCGGTGATCTTGAGGCGGTGGCTGCGCTGCGCTAAGACGATGCTCTGGAGCTGAAGAGACGCCGCAGCCTAGCAGCAGCCTAGTGCTGCGCCGACCAGAGGGATGGCACAGCCAGCCGGCCCCGGGGACCATGGGAAGCTGCGGACCGAGGCAGAGGACCTCGAGGGACCACGGGTGTCCGGGGAAGCCGCGGGTGCGGTTGGGGGCTTGCAGGACGAGCTGAGCTTGGAGGAGATCCTGCTGCTCTACAACCAGCCGATCAACGAAGAGCAAGCGTGGGCCGTGTGCTACCAGTGCTGCGGCTCCCTGCGCGCCGCGGTAGCCAGCAGCAGCCAGCCTCGCTGCCGCGTACGCTCAGCCGCTCAGATCCGCATCTGGAGGGATGGCGCCGTCACTCTGGCGCCCGCTGCCGCCGAAGAGCCGACTGCCGCTGCGGGTGAGGCGTCTTCTGGTGGACCACTGCCCGGGTCTTGTATTCCCCTCGCAGTCCCAGGTCCCTGCCCTTCTGCCACGCGAACCCCCATCTCCTACGGGAGGATCCCTGCCTCGCTTTCACTTTCCCCGCGGGGTTCCCGGGCCCTGCCCTTCCCCAAACCTTCCCTCTGTCGGGAGGACCCCCACCGGGGCCCATTTCTCCTTCCCTACCTCCACTTGCTCCAGGCCCTCCCGCCCAGGCTCCCCTTCCTCCCACCTCTTGCAGGAGACCCAAGCCGGGGGTCCACGGGGGAGGGCAGTGCTTAAGCTGTGGCGGAGCTGGGACCCACTTAGGTCAGAGAACGGGGTGGGGGCAGGCAGCGGCACAAAGGGTCTGTGAGGAGGTTGACCGACTGGGTCTAGGCGTGCTTGGGCCTGCGCCCCCCAGCAAGGCCGCAGACCTTCGGAGGGTGCTGGTGATCATACAGACTGTCAAAGGACTGCTGCCCATGCCTTGATATCCCTTTGATAAGCTGTGAATGCTTAGTTATTTACTTGTGGTTGTGTTTGTGATGTGGTAGATACTATAAAAGGCTCACATTAGAATTTGTGAAGGATAGTTAGTTCTCATGTCAGGAAAATTAGACCTTTTGGAATGAGTAGTCAACTAAGTATTTTTGAAAAATTGGCAATATTTTTTCGGTTTGGAAATATAAATAAATCTGAGCCCTGAGAATTATGCTCTTTTGGGGGATGCTGATTTTTATAGCATATGAAAGTTATAAATTAACTATCTGTATATGGAAATTTGTTTTGATGAAAAAACAGGCTTGTAAAATGGGAAAGTTGTCAGGATATCAGATAAATAGATAAAATGGATTTTAGTTCATTGTCTAATGTAAATTCTTCCAGATTATCAACTACATATCAACACATAGGCGGGGCTTAGTCACATATTTATTGATGGTGAAGGGAGGGGTTGATAATAGGTTTCTCCAATCAATTTTTATCTAATTCAGTCTTTTGAGAGGCAAGTCTTAAAAACAGAAAAATAATCCATCCTCACTTTTAGCAGGTTGGCGGAAGTGTCAAAATAAAATACTTAAGGTGAAAGAAGTTATTCAGAACTACTTTGTAAAATGACATTTAATGAGGAAGGCAAAGGGCGACAAATTGGGACACCTGTAATAGAATAAACAAGAATAAAAAACTTTTTAAAATAAAGAAAACCCTCATCTAAGTTGATTAAATAAGGAAGATTGAAGATTATGTTGTCTATTCTTTCAGTTCCACCAGAACACTTATTATTTTTAATGTTAGGTAGTCAAATTTTATAATTTTTATTAATTTAAGGCCAGTCTTTCTGATTCTTTTGAAATTTTTAAACACCTTTTAGTTTATTTGATGTGTTTATTACATTGAGATTTGGACTTTATGTTAGTGGGGAACACTTGCAATTATAATTTATTTACAGTGTATTGATATGATATGGAAAGATACATTTATAAAATAGAGCTAGTGTTTCAAGGAGAATGTGGTGGTGTGCAGTGTGCTCCTAGATGCAGTATTGGTAGTGGTGATTTCAAGAACAAAACCAGTTTACATTGTCTCTTGAACTTGAAGAGAGTAGTTTAAATTATGTTTGTGGACTTATTAATAGTTTAGTTGTCAAAGACTTGGAATCTGGTGGTAGTTTTTTTTTTTAAATCAGAACCTTGTATTGAAAAAAAGTTTTTTGCATCATTAATATGAATGAAAACGTGCTGATTTCAATGTAATATACTATATGGGGAGAATAGTAGAGTTGTTTTTTGCCCCACCAATAATAGACACGTAATCCATCCTCTTCCTCCTTAGTTCACCTCACCACCTCTGTTACCAATTGTGGAAAGAGCCAGATCAAAGTTGTTGCAGTCTTCAGCATTTTAGGGTTGATTGATTTAAAGTTTTTGGGACAGTCATACAAAAATATTATTTGTATTAGACAGTTTATTTCCTCCTAGGATTTCATAGTAGTTACATGGCTATGGAAGGCACAGTATCTTCTGAACATTTGGTTCTGATTCTTAAAAATACTGTTTAATTTGGCCTGTGCACACTTGCATACATTCTGTTTTTAAGGAAAAGTAGTAATTGTGACACCTTCATTCTTTTCTTTTTCATTGTAAGGTGATTATATGTTGTTGGCGGTCAAAAGCATTTATATTTTCACATACTAATCAATTTTCTAAATGGAGGTGTAGGGAAATTGGGTAATTTGCTCAAATTCATACTGTTACCTCTTTGAATCAAATCCAGGTCTTTAAACCTCTATACTTTGTAATATTGTGAAATGAAACAGATTTAGTTTGCACTGGCATCATGATTCCTCCCCTTCCTAGCTGAATGACCTTGAGTTCAGATTTACCATCTGTAAAATGAGACCACTTTCATCATGGGATAGCGTTTTCCAGGAGATGATATGTGTAAAGTGATGAATACATGGCTTGGTATGTAGCAGGTACTCAGTAAGTTTTAGTTCCCGTCCTCCCTTAATCTTGTGTTCCTTTCATACCATCATTGTGCCTCTGGTACAGTCCAGCTGTTTGGGACAAATAACTAGGTCAAGATTTCTCAGCCTTGGCACTATTGACATTTTTGTCTGAATAATTCTTTGTTGTGGGGGCTGTCTTCTAAACACAGGATGTTTAGAAGAATCCCTTGTCTCTACCTAGTACATACCAGTAACGATTTTCCCCCTCTTTTTAATCGTAGCAATAAAAAAAGTCTTCAGACAAGGCCAAATGTGCCTGGCGGCAAAATAATCCCCTGTTGTAAAGCCACTGGTCTAGCAAACACGTGATGGGTGGTACTCAGGATTGTGTTCAGTGTGGAGAAACTGGATCCTCTCCGTAATCCTCAAGCCAAGTGAATATTTCAGCTGGCTGCCAACCGCTCTCTGCTGTTGAGTTGAATGAATGAGTAGTATCAATTCTTATGACTATCAGCAGCGTAACTCCGTTTCATACCACAGAAAGAAATAGTTCCTCAAATAGTTTTTGAGCTTATTTTGGGGTTAATGTAGTAGTAATTGATTTTAGTTCTTGTTTACTTTTAACGTTATTATACATCCAGAATATCCATATTCAGTTTTAATTTAAGAAATTAGAAATACCTTATAAGAAAAATTAAAAAATTATGGAAGGTGTGGGAGGCATGGAAATGAGATCAATATTGGAAGAATGAGTAATTTTTTTAGTATTCAAATTCAGTGTAGAACCTTATACTAACGTGGCCATAAAAGCAGTGTGATATAGGTCTGAAGGAGATAAAGAAAAAGGTAAAGTTAGTTCTTTAGGGGATATCTTAAGAGTAAAAATGATTAAATTATGCATTAGGATTTTGCAGCTGGCAATATGTTTTATGAAGTATTTCTGTGATGATAAGAGGATATGTTGTTGCTTATAATCAAGAGGCTTATGATTCTTCTGAGGTAGCTTTGCTTAAAATTTTTATTTCCCCAGTGTTTATGTACTCTTAGTCATACATCCATATTGTTTGATAAAAGGTTATTATATTTAGGTTTTCACAGAAGTGAAGTTTATACTTTTACATCATCAGGAATGAGTTAAAGACATTTAGACTCTTGAAATACAACCTGCTTGTTTGTCACCAGTGTACTGGCATTTAGAACACAGTTTGGTGCACACATTCTTCAGAAAGTAGTCATTAATGGAATTTAGGTTGTATTCCAGATCTTCACAAGATTAAATTTTTTTTCTGGGATGCCACAAAGAATTTGTATTAGTAACAGTAGTATTAGAGCTTAGAATCATTGCATGTCTCAGCAGCCTCTTAGGCTTTAAATACCCGTATGATAAAAATAACTTTCTAAGATTTTGGTTTTAAAGTTTTTGATGTACTTTTAGCTTTAGATGTGTAAAGAACATTCTAAAAATTATGATCACCTCTTGGTTTAAAGTTATCTTAAGGTTGGTGACAGGTTTTCCTGGGAGGAACAATGAAAGCCTGCGTGCATACTGATAAAGAAAGGGGTCTCTTGTTATGGGGAACATTCGGGTTTTGTTTGGGATTTGAAAAGAGGATATGATCAGTCAAGCTTCTCAGGTTCATGCTAATTGGGAGAAATGGTTTTGGAATAATATACTACTTGATTTTAAAGAGAGAATATTTGTGGACAAGGTTGAAGTGTAGTGGAAACATGTTTAAAAACATTAAATTTTTGTTCTCATATATATTAAGTACTTGCATCTTGATCATTACATGAAAGGAATACTTGAGGTATATGTGTATGTTTTTAGGGTAGAGGTTGAGGGTGAATGACAGTGTTAGGGGTTAGGGAAATGCTTTATCAATTATAGAATAAGGTAGGAATTACTCCATTTGAACAATATGTCCAAATATGTGGGGTTAACTAAATTTTTAAAATATGCATTGAGTTTCTCCCATGTGCAAGCAGTGTTCAAGTTTCCATCGTTGATATAAACATAAATATTTATAGTCCCAGTCATAAAAGAAGAAAAAATAAAACAAACAGTGGTAAATTTACCATGAAGCTAATGCAGCTTCAACTTTAAGCCCACTCATATGCACAGGCCTCTTCTAGGCCCTGGGGAGGGGCTTTAATAATATGTTCAGGTGGTAATTTGCAAAAGTAAGATGTTTTAGTTATAATTAGTTCAAATTGCTGTCACTTTCAACTTTAATTTACTCTCCTACATACTTCCACTTGGGTTATATGGGAGTGGCCACAGGACATTTTGGGGAGAAATTTTGGAGTAATGCATTTGTGATTTTTAATCTGAATTCCTGCCCTCTGCAAAGAAAAACAAATGGAAAGAATTTAGTCATATGCAGATACTGGTACTTAAAGTAAGTTGGGACTCTGTTGGGAAACCAATAGCCTCACTAAGAGTTTTGAGACAACTTTAGAAGAAAAAAATCATTGATATACCAGGTACTATGTTGATAAGAGGTGAAGAATCACACTCTCCCAGTTGTACTTGCATGGTCAAAATCACT